CTTGAGCCACAGGTCCCCATTTTGTCACAGCATTAACCCTGCTCCGCGCTACTGACCTTCCGTCTTATGTTTCTAGTTTCCATGACTGATAGAACGACAAGGCAGTCTAGCGGGGAAGGCACACAGGAACAAAACAAGCCTTTAGGTCTTAACAAATAGCACATTCAGCTGGGCCTGGTGGCGCACACCTTTAATCCCAGCACTTGGGAGGCAGAGGCAGGCAGATCTCTGTGAGTTCAAGGCCAGCCTGGTCTACAGAGCGAGTTCCAAGACAACTAAAGCTACATAGAGAAACCCTGTCTCAAGGCCCACCCCTCCCCCAAAAGAAATAGCGCATTCCAGCTTCCTGGAGGGGGAAAGGCTGTTGGGGAGTTCTCCCTGTTCCTGTCCTTAGTGTGCCAACTGTCCGAATGCTCTTAGATCAGTGATTTCCAACCTTCCTAATGCTGAGAACCCTTAACACCTCTCCTTGGCATGACCTCCAGCCATAAAGTTATTTTTTGTTGCTGAGTCATAACTATTATTTTGCTACTGTTATGATTCATAACGTAAATACCCGACATGTAGGACATCTGATATGCCACACCCGTGAAAGGGTAATTGGATCCCCAGGTTGAGAATCAATGCTCTTAGATGCAGAATAGGTTTCTTCCTCAGACCAGACTGTTGGCCACGGGGCTTGGCCCACAGTTTGAGAGACGCTCGCAGTTCGTCATGGTGGTAGGAACGTGATGACATGATGTAAGCTGTCGCACTGTGTTCACGGTCAGGAAGCTGGAAGAGATGAATGCTGGTGCTGGGCGCCCTCCCCCACCTCTCCCCACGCTTTATTTAGTGTAGGACCGCGGCCCATGGGGATGCTTCTCACATCTCTGGAAACTCCCAAAGGCATGTTTCCTGGGACTTGTTAGAAACCTCATCGAATTGGCAGTTACAATTTGAATGTGTAGCCTCCCGCATATTTCGATGTTTGGCCTTCAGGGGGCGGTGCTGTGTGGGAAAATGTATCACCATTAGGCATTGGAGCCTTGTTGGAGAAAGTGGGACACTGGGCTCAGGCCTTGAAGTTTTGTGGCCTGGCCCTATTTTCCGTTTATCCTTTGCTGCCTGCGGATGCAATGTCACCAGCAAGACTCACATTCTTGCCGCCATGCCTTTCCAACCATGATGGAATGTGTCCCCTCAAACTGTAAGCCAGAAGAGATAGAGCAGGCTGGCCTCAAACTCACAGAGACCCTCCTGCCTTTGCTTCCAGCGGGCTGGGATTAAAGGCGTGTACTAGTACTGCCCAGCAAGTTGCTTTTTTAGTAATTAATTCCACAATTGGGATTAGTCATCAGAGCCAGGCACGGTGGTGCACGCCTTCTATCCCAGCATTTGGGAGGTAGAGGCAGGCAGAACTCTGTGAGCTCCAGGCAAGCATGGTTTACAGAGCGAGTTCCAGGGCAGCCAGTGCTACAGAGTGAGACCTGGTCTCGAAAACGAAACAAAAGCAAATAAAATAAATAAACCAAATAAAAAATAAATAAAAATATTAGTCGTCACGTCTTCTGTTGTGTGATTATGTCTGTCTGAAGAAGGTACAGGAATGGCCCCAGGGTTAAAGTCCCTCGCCATGTTTTGGAGAAGAAGAAAAAAGATGAACGTAGGCCCTGGATGACCAAGACTTGGCTAAGTGACACAGCCTTCTTTTTGCACCTCCTTCAGCCTCTACAAAACCCTCTGTGTCCCTGAGCACCTCAAGATGGAGCTTTGAGGCAGCAGCCCTGCTTCGTCCAGATATTTCTGTCCCTTGTGTAAACGTGTCTTCTACCAACTTTTGTCTCTTGAATACTGGCCTTGGAGTGGTGGCAGTTAGATTTCTCATTCCAGAATAGCAGACTTCCTTAACTAATGTCTCTCTCTGCTATTCCTATGACTTCTTGTCTCCATTTTTTTTAAGTCCCTCCCACTGCAGTACTAGGCACTGAACCTAGAGCCTGCACAATCTAGACAAATGCTCTATTACTTAGTCATCCAGTTCCTCAAAGCACACCATCATTGTGTCATGTCTGGGCCCCTCACCAGTAAATTTTAGGTAAGTGCTCTTCCACTGAGCCATCCTTCTAGCCCCTTACATCTGGCTTTTAAGCAAGTGCTTTACCTCTGAGCCATGCCCTCAGCATCTCACTGGAGGATTCTAGGCAGGGGCTCTATCACTGAGCCACGCCCCCAGCCCCTCACTGGGGGATTCTAGGCAGGGGCTCTACCACTGAGCCACGCCCCAGCCCCTCACTGGGGGATTCTAGGCAAAGGCTCAGCATTCTTTTTACTTTTTGTTTTGAGACAAGATTTCACTATGTTGCCCAGTCTGGCCTTGAACTTGTGACCCTGCCCCAGCCTCCCGCATTTCTGGGGCTGTAGGCCTGTACCAACAGACCTGGCTTCCGAGACTGAGCCTCACTCACTCTAGTAGCCCACACTGGCCTTGAGGTCAGGACCACTTGCCTTGGCATCACAAGTGCCAAGATTCTAGGTGTGGACCACCACACCTCGGTCATGTTTACCTTCATGCATTTCTCTTTGTCATCTCTCCCCAAGCTTCTTCATGCCTGCTCAGGTTCTGAACTGGACCTTGTGATCTCCCTGTAAAGATTAAGAACTCAATGCCTCACGTCAAGATCATTTAGAGGCCTCACCCAGGCCAGCCTCAGGCTCTGCAGTGCGTGTCCTGACTTCTGATGGCTTTGGGGAGACTTCTGTTCAAGGGAGGCCTCTCTACCTGTGTGCTGCCTGTGGCTGGGAGCCAGCCTCGCTGTGCGTGCAGCTTGGGAGGAAAGCTGTCATCATCAGAATGTCAAGTTGTCAGGGTCGGCGCTAAGCTGTGAAGCTTCATGTCTGAGATGGCAACCCCACCCTGCTGGGAGAAATAGCAGAGCAAACGAATTGGGCTCTCTCTCTCTCTCTCTCTCTCTCTCTCTCTCTCTCTCTGTGTGTGTGTGTTGAGAGGTGAGAGTCTGTCTTCCCTTATATCAACACTTCCACACATGGTTCTCATCTTTGCTCTTTATCTTGTGTTTCCAGTACTAGGAATTGAACTTAAAGCCTTGCACATGCTAGGTAGAGGCTAACCACTGAGCCATGACACTAGACCCCTTTAAGTGGATTCTGGCAAAGTATTCTACCACTGAGCCACACCTCAGCCCTTCACTGGTAGATTCTGGGCAAGCTCTGTACTGTAGAGTAACATTTCAAACTTTTTTTTTTTTTTTCTGGGAGGTGGGGTTAGGGTCTTATTATGTAACCCTTGGTTGGTCTGGGACTCACTGTGTAGAGCAGGCTGGCCTTGAACTCCTAGCTATCTGCCTGCCTCTACTTCCTGAGTACTGGGATTACAGACATGGAGTATTACACTTCCAAGCCCTTGTACTTTTTAAGACAAGATCTCACTGTGTTTGTTGTTCAGGGTGGTTCTCGATCTCACTCCGTAGCCTGGCAGGCTTTGAGGGGCGATCTTCCTGCCCAGTTTCTGAGTAACTGAGATGGTGGTCCAGGTCTGATTTTCTTTTTCTTTGCTCTTTCCTCCTCCACCTGCCTCTCTTTGGTGTTCTCCCTCTCTCCTAGCTCTCGATCTCTCTTCTTTTTAAATCTTTGTGGGGCATGGCGGTTCACGTCTTTAATCCCATAACTTAGGAGGCAGAGGCACGCTGATCTCTGTGATTTGGGGGCCAGCCTGCTCTACAGAGTGAGTTCAATCCAGGACAGCCAGGGCTACACAGTGAGACCCTGTCTGGAAAAAACCAAAAAAGCCAAACAACCACAACAAAAAGCCAACCAAACCAAAAAATCTTTATTATGTGTATGGCTGTCTTGCCCTGGTTTATGTCTGTGTGCCATGTGCATGGCTAGTGCCTGTAGAGGCCAGAAGAGGGTGTTAGATCCCCTGGAACTGGAGCAAACATGTGAGCTACCATGTGAGTACTGGGACTCGAACCAAGGTCCTCTGGAAGAGCAGCCAGTGCCCTTAACTGCTGAGCCAACTCTCCAGCCCCTGTTTTTTTTTTTTTTTTTTAAATTTCTGCTCTCTTCCGTGGTTGACAGTGTTTTCTTTTGTCTCTCTGAGCCCTCTGATTTACTGAAAGGCAGTGGTTAGAACAGCAATCTCTGTGGCCGTGTTCAGACCCAGCTCCACTCATTTCTGACTCCGTGATCTGGGGCAAACCACCTCGCCTTTCTGAGACTCAGTTAGGTGTGTGAACAGGTAATAACAACACGTCTTTGTGCCGTAGGGAGGGTTAAAGGTGTCACCTGGAACTGCTTCCCTAGGAAGCGCTGTGTAAGCGACTGCAATTGTTCCTCAGCATCTCAGGCTTCAATCCCACAGGCCCCTTGCTTGGTATCTGTCCTGGTAGGCTCTCCCCTCTTTCTTGGCTTCTCTGCCTCTCTATTCTTAGGACCCCTTTGCTTTCGAGCTGGTCTTCAGGAAACATTAGCCCTCCCTCTTTTGCTTGCTGTACTGGAGACCCGACCGAGGGCATCATTCATGTGGGCAAGATATATCAGTGAGCTATATCTTCAACACTCTTTCAAAAACTTAACCAAGAGACAAGGTCTAGTTAAGGTGGCTTTGAACTCAATCTGAAGTGCAGAACTCTTTGATTTTGCAACCCTCGACTCCAGGAGGGGTTTAGGGTAGGCGGAGCTTAGGATGGGCGGGTCTTAAGGAGAGCTTGTCTCCACTCCAGACCTCCACTGCCTCACCGTAAAGCAGTAGTTTTCAACCTTCCTAATGCTGCGATTCTTTAATATAGTTCCTCATGTTGTGATAACCCCAGCCACAAAATTATTTTCGTTGCTGCTTCATAATTGTAATTTTGCTACTGTTATGAATTGTGATGTAAATATCTGATGCACAGATGGTCTTAGGCGACCCTTGTAAAAGGGTCGTTCAAACCCCAGATTGAGAACTGCTGCCATGAGGGGTTTTTCTCTTCTATTAATTCAGCCAAGTCAGGTACAAATCTGTTGTCAAGGTATTTATTAGGAAATGGTACAAAAAGCCTGGAAATGAGTACATTACAGAATAGGTTCTGTGGGTATAAGAACCTTTGTCACGTCATTCTTTCCCCCGAGGCAGGCTTAAGATAGGTAAAGGACCGATACGTGGCAGGCCTAGGGTTTAGGGAATATGATAGAGATACTGATGGAGGCCCACGACAGTGAAACCAGCAACCAGCGGGAAGAGGGACAGAGCAGTCCCTGGGTGCGGTACTCAGCGGACGCGTACACACAACTGGAAAGGCCTTGGCAAATTGCCCAGCCCTGAGCTCAGCGGGGTCAGGTCGATGTCCTCGGGCTCGACCAGCGGATGCAACGTGAAGTTCTGCAGAATGGAGGTGAAGTATAGGAAAAGCTCCATGCGCGCCAGCGGCTCCCCCAGACACAGTCGGCGTCCTGCGTGGGCGGGAGGGCCAAGAGCCACCGTGAGATAAGAGTGTGGGGCTGCACCCCCATGTGCTCAGAGGGAGAAATGTGGGGCTGAAGATAACGGTTGGGGATGTCACCGACAGAGACATCAAAGTTTTGGGGGGAAATGAAGCCGAAGTAGCTGCCAATACGAGAGCAACTGCCTGGGTTCAAATCCTATATTTGAAGGTTCCCACAGCTGGGGTGCAATCCAGTATGGTCTGGCTGCGGAGCCCACCTCTCAGCCGCTGCCCCTTCTCAGAGGCAGCCTCTGGCACCCAAAAGGTAACTTACCTGACATTCTCCCTCACTTCCTCCTCCCGGCTGAATAAATAGGATTCTCTGTGCCAGCCGGGCAAGGTAGAGTTTAAGGAAAACCAGACCCAGCCTCGCCACCTAGAGGCGAGCCTGAAAATAATCACCCTTAATTAATTGGCTTCCACCTGGGTGTTAACAGCCAAACTGGGAAAGAGAAATCTCTGCACGCAAAGCTAAGAAGGGGATGGGGTCGAGAGGGCTTGGCGAGTAGAGTTAGGATTACAGTCCAAAGGAGTGACTCCATCTCTTACCAGCCGAAAACGGCATGAAGGCAGGACTCTTCTTGAAGGACTGATTGGCATCCAGAAAATGCTCGGGATTGAATTCCTGAGGAGTCTTGAACTGGTCCGAGTCATAGTGCACGGTGTTCAGAAGCGTGATGACATCTGTGCCCTGTGTGGGTGAGGGGACAGAGTCAATGATGTAGACTCACTGAGGAGTTAAAAAACTTTTTTTTTTTTATGTGTATGAGTGTTTGCCTGTATGTATATATGTGCACCACATGGGTGCAATGTCCAAGGAGATTGTGAGTCGATTGTGGATGCTGGGAATCCAAACTGTGTCCCCTGGAAGCTGCTAAACCACCTCTCCATTCTGGAAGAGGGTTGTTTTCTTTCCCTCGAACTCGAGTTTCCATGCTGCAAAGATGGGGCTTCTAGGAGCTCGAGAAGGAGGCCAGGGTGGGGCAGGGATGCTAGAAGCTGTGGCTGGGGTCTGAGAAATTGGAGGGGGCCACCCTTGGCCTTGAGCTTTGTAGAAGCAGATGCAGGATTTCTAAGGGAGGAGTCCTCCAAGGATGGCAGTTTGGCCTTAAGAGATGTTCTGGTGAAGTCCCAGACCCTGGAGATTCTGGACAGGGGGTCCAAGGAAGGGGCTTGAGATAGGGAATGAGTATGGCATTCCAATCCCCTCTGGTATGAGATGGGGTTCTGGGAAAGGATTCTGTTTTTAAGAGTCTAAAATGGTTAAGCCGATCCGGGGTGGTGGCCTACGCTTGCAATCCCAGCTCACAGGAGGTAGAGGCAGGAGGATCCATCCTTAGTCACACCGGGAATATGAGGCCTGGGCTACAAGAGACGTCTGCCTCAAAAGAGTAAAAAACAGGGCTGCAGAGATGGCTCAGGTGTTAAGGGCACGGGCTGCTCTTGAAGAGGACCTGGGTTCCAGCGCCCACACCATGGTGCCCAACAATATGTAACTCCAGGTCCAGAGAGCACAAGGTCCTCTTCTGGCGCCCTCGGACTCTGCATAATAATGGTGTACAGACATACTTTTAGGTAAAACACCCAGCCATACACATACAAAATAAAATTGGGAAAAAAGTGTTAATTTTTTTTTTTTCCAGAAACAAGCAACTTCTCACCTCTGCAGCTTTGAACTCTGGGATCTGATTGCTAAGGCCAGGGTTACTCTTTAGCCAAGTACAAGAGCCCGAGATACCTCTTCCTAGGTCACCCCATGTCGTTTTGGGAATCCAGCACACCTTGGGTATCAGGAAGTCACGGAAAGGCGTGTCCCGAATGACGCGATGCGGCAGGTTCATGGGGATGACGTCTGCGAAGCGCTGCACTTCGTGGATCACGGCATCTGTGTAAGGCATGTTCACGCGGTCCTCCAGCGTCGGCATCCGCGAGCGCCCCACCACGCGGTCGATCTCTTCCTGCACGCGGGCTAGAGGTGGTAGGGGAAGGCAGTGTGGACGATGGCTCCAGAGGAGCGGCTGGGACCGGAAGAGGTTTGTGCGAGTGCACGGGAAAGGCTCAATTCAAAGCTTTCCTTATCTGCATGCGGTGACTTAAAATCTTTCCAAGGAAGCTGAGGCAGGAAGAGAGCTGCGAGTTCTGGCTACTATGGGGTTTCTAAGCGCTTGTTTTGAGAGAGAGAGAGAGAGAGAGAGAGAGGGAGAGAGAGAGAGAGAGAGAGCGCAAATAATGGTTGCTGCAAAGGTTTCTGGGTGTGGGTTTTATAAAGGTGGGCTTCAGGGCTACTAGAGGTGGTGTTGTGCAGGAGAGGTCAGTGTCCTTAGCTGGCCTTGTGGTTGGGGCTCAGGGGTGGGTGGGGCTTTGAGAGGGCAGAGGGAGCAGGACTCAGAGGCCTGACAACCTTGTGTGTTGCCAAAACTACACAGGCGTGATCTGAAAGACATCACCACTCAGGGTGTGGACCGTGTGTGTGTGTGTGTGTGTGTGTGTGTGTGTGTGTGTGTGTGTGTGGGTCGGCCTCTCAGTGGGTGTGTCTTATATGTAAGAAGCTGCGTTAGTAGAGGGTTTAATATACCCTCTGGACAGGGAGTTGGCGGTGGGGGGGGGAGAAGGAACAGGGAGTGTAGAGAGCCCCCTTTGCTGCCTGTGTACCTTGTATTTTGGGGTACTTCATGAGAATAAGGAAGGCGTGGCGCATCGTGGTGCCCACGGTCTCTGTGCCACCGAACAGTAGGTTGTGCGTGGTCATCAACAGGGTATCCATTTGGAAGTGGCTCAGTGGGTCTTTCTTCTCCTGTCAAAGAATGGGGCTGAGCCAGGGTCTCTGGGAATCCTACACTTTGGAGCCTGTATGACCCGCTCAACTGCTGCGGACCAGGCGCCAGTTCTGTCCCTGTCTGGAGCTGACTTCTCTTTCCGGGAGCAGAAGAATGTGAAGGGAGAGATTAAAAGGGGCAAGGCCCTTGGTGAACAACTTGGCAAACCACAACAGCTTAATGGGTTGTTAATTGGCGGTGGCTGCAGTTCAGCAGGGCCAGGTGTCGCAGCTACCCTTCTGGGAACAAGTGTCTGATTCTGCCCAAGCTGAGATCCCGGCAGGTTTGAGGCCTGCGGGCAGCCGGAAGAGGTTCGAACCAGCCCAGAGGGAGGATTTTCATTTCGCAGCTACCTGTGCCATCTTTGTGAGGAAGCAATCAATGAAGTCCCGGGGAGAATTGGGGTCCAGGGAGTCCTGGTGTTCCCGGACGCTGCGGGCGATGAGCTCTTTCATGCCTCGAAAGTTCCGGAACATGCGTCTGTGCGGCCCAGGCACCCAGTCCAGGAGACTCGGGAAGATGTTGTACATCTGTGGACCAGAGTTGGAGGGGCTTCATGAAGCCACTGCTCAGCAGGGTGTGTGCTTGGGGGCTCACGGGCTAAGTAAGGTAAGCAGATCACATAGGCTCTGACCAGGTCTTGGCAGGGGCAGCCAAGTTCTGCAAAGGGTGGAAAGAGAGTGGGAGGGAGGGGCAGGGTGGAGGGTGTGGGTGGGCTGAGCTGGGGGCAAGCAAGAGTGGGGGCGGAGCAGGGCAGGCCAGTTCAATCTCATCTCTGCTGGTTTTACTCAGTTATTATTCTGAGACATGGTAAGGCTCTTCAGCCCTCCCTGGTGGGTTTCTCCAGGTTGATCTGGAACTCATGGCAATCCTCCAGCCTCGATCTCGGTGCTGAGATGATAAGCACGTTTGACCTCCCCAGCCCCTGCAGCTGCTTTCTCCATGGTTGGACCCAGTGGACACCCCCAACCCGCATCTGATTGACCTCCGAGTACTGACCTCACCCCAGGGGCTGCTCATTATCTGAAAGTTGTCATTGATGAATCGGATGATGGTGAGCAGACGCTCATCGTCATAGTCAAAGCGGCTTCCAAAGATGACGGAGCAGATAATGTTGGACACTGACCGGCTCACGATAAACACAGGGTCAAAGGGCTTGCCTGAGGTGCATAGATGGAGTGGGTCAGTGTCCAGCTTTGGCAGTACAACATTTGCAACAGCCAGACCGAGTGATGTCACAACTCCCGTTTACTCAGGGTTCACCCACCCATGACATTGTGTCCTGCAGCCCAGAACTCTCACATGTGGCCAGTCAGCCTGCAATATGACAACACTTCCAAAGTATTTGGCAATGTCACCCACCACACAGAACTCACCATGTCCTGCAGAACAAGAATACTTATAACACAAGGACAGGCTGTTCTCGGACTCATCAAACCCTCAACACGGCACATGCCATCACTACGAATCCCAACAAACACTCGCTCACAAAACCACCAGTAAGCATCTGCAAGGGCAGCAAGCACCTGTAAACCCAGGCGAGAGGCCGAGGCAGGAGGATCTGCAAGTTTAAGTTCAGCCTGGGCTATATGCTCAAAAATCGTCTCAAAATCAGACAGTTGGGGACTGGAGCATTGACTCAGGCAGACTACATCAGGCTGGTAGCAATTTCCTGTAACTGCCTGCCTCCAGGACATCAGGTACTTCCTCCTGGCCTCCGTGGACACCTGGCACCCCCAGCACACACACTTGGCATGCATTCCCATAAACACATGTACACATAAATAAATGCTACATTAAAAACAAAATAAACAATTGGTTATAGTGGTTGACATCTGCAATTTCAACTCTTGGGAGGTGGAGGCAGGGATCAGGAGTCCCAGATCACCTCTGGCCCTCGTCTCCACTAAAGACAGGAAAGGAAACATTCCAAACCAACCAGACAAACACAACATATGCCAACACCGTTGGTCCACAAACATCCCAAGACATAATCACAATGTACTGCCTTGTGATGTCAGCATATGGCTCCATCCTCCTGCCTCACAGCACACAACACTAATTCCTGGCAGCTCACTGGATAGGGCAGAACACTCTGTGACATCGTGAGGCACACATCTACGCCACAGAAGAGATGACACACAGTAAGTCAACATTGGATCTCAGCAGATGACAAAGTGTAATCCCACACATAATGCCCAAGGACAGACAACCTTATTCCAGTATAGACCACAAACATTCGAGTCTAGCCTCGAATCAGCTAACAGCCAAACATACTACAGGATACAATAAAAGCAACAGTGCAGGCCTGTAATCCCAGCACTTGGGAAAGCTGAGGCAGGAGGTTCATTATGAGTTTCAGGCCAGCCTGGGAGACACGGTTTCTGTTTTGAAAACAAACAAACAAGCCCCATATTTAACATAACATCTAAGACGTAAGGGCACAGCCCAGAAAGTAGGATCTGAAAGTAGATTTTGCTTCGATTCTGGTGTGGACTTAACTTAGTCTTTATGTTTTCCCTTTCTCCGAACCTCAGTTCTCATCTGTGAAATGGGCTTGGTGACAGTCCCCTCCTCATGAAGCTGTTGTGAAGAGTTAGGGAATGTGGAACTGGGAAATCCATAGCTGAGGCCTTAGCCATTCTGGGGCCATCACAAAACACACTGCTGTGGTAAATAGACACCATGGGTGTCCAAATCTCCACGCTCAGAATCTTACTTTAGATGTGATGTTATTAAGAAATTTGTGATGGGGGCTGGGGAAATGGCTCAATGGTCTGGAATATGTATTGCTCTTGCAAAGAACATGAGTTCAGTTTCTAGTACCTATGTTGGGCAGCCCATGATTATCTGTTCCTCATCTCCAGGGGGACCCTTCAGGCAGTTGCACTCACCTGCACATACTTCCACCCCGCCCCCTGTAATTAAATCTTAAAAATCTCAAAAATTAATGTTGTAGTAGGAAAGCTATTCTGAATTACCTGGGTTGGACCCCAGGAAGGTCCTTATAAGTAAGAGTTAAGGGGGTGTAAAACAAAGTGTGTTAGCCAGGTGTTGGCGGCACACACCTTTAATCCCAGCACTCGGAAGGCAGAGGCGGGCAGATCTCTGTGAGTTTGAGGCCAGCCTGGTCTACAGAGCGAGTTCCAGGACAGCCAGAGCCATGAAAAAAAGGAGGAGGAAGAAGAAAGAAAGATAGAAGAGAGTAAGAGAAGGAGGGAGGGAGGGAGGGAGGGAGGGAGGGAGAGGGGAGAGAGTACAAGAGACCACCCTGCTGACCCACTGTTTACTTCAGACCTGTAGAACCCTGTAAGAGAACGAACCTGGCTGGGTATGGAGTCTCACGGCTTTAATCCAAGCACATGGGAGACTGAGGCAGGAGAACTCCGAATCTGAGGCCAGCCTGGGTTACAGAGTGACAACCTAGCTAAAACAAACAAACATTTGTGTTATATTAAGCTCCTACATTTTTGTGCGTGCCGGCATGCGGACGTGGGTTTCGGGGATTGAACTCATGCCATCAGGCTAGGCAGTGAGTGCCTTTGCCTGTTGAGACATTTCACTGGTGCCGTTGCGGTAATGATGTCAGAGCATTAAGAAACCAATATAAGCAGCTCCGTCTCACTTGCAACTCATGCAATCCCTTCATCACCATGTGTTAGATTATCATTATTAGATTATAAACCCTCCAATAAATAAAATGGTTAAAAACAAAAATAATTATTGTTTAGTTTTAGCTGAGTATATGTTTGTGTATGTCTTTCTGTGTGTGTGCACAGAAAGACACAGAGGATGTTGGAGCTGGAAGTTGGGAAGTACCACATGGGTGCTGGGAACTGAACGCAAGTCCTCTGCAAGAGCAGCCAGTGCTCTTAATCGCTGGACCATCTCTCCAGTCCAACTCCCCTGAGTTTTTATTATTTTTTGAGACAGGATCTCATGTAACCTAGGCTGGTTTCAGACTTACTATTTGGTCAAGGATGATCTTGGTCTCCTGCTGCCCCTACCTCCACCTCCTAAATTCTGGGCTTACAGGCATTCCCTACCCCCCTCCCCAACATTTTCAGTTAGATTTATTCATTTTATTTTGTGTGTAAGCGTTTGTATGTATAAGCGCCATAAGCGTGCCTGATGCCTGTGGAAGTTGGAAGAGGGCACTGGATTCCTTGGCATGGGAGTTATACATGGTGGTGAACCACCATGTAGGTGGTGGGAATTGAACCTGGGTCCTCTGCATGAACAACTGGTCCTAACTGCTGAGCTACCTCTCCAGCCCTGTGGTGAGCTTTTGAGAATGTTGTCATCGTTACCCACTAGAAACAAGCAATCTGGGCTCTGAACGCTACAGACAACATAACAAAGCTGTGACCAGAACCCCATGCCTGAACCCCCAGGAGGGACAGTTCCCACCACGGACAGAGTGAGCGGGAGTTTCTGTCCACACTCAGGCTCTGGAACCTGTAAGAAGAATGGATGCCATCCTAGGGTGTGTCTGACCTTCCGTTTTCCGTAGCACCTCCAGCAGGAATCTGCCCTCTTCCAGGATCCGCTCCTCGATGCTCCTTTTTCCCATCCCAAAGTTGCGCAGGATTTGGACCGAGAACCTTCTGAGGACCTTCCAGCGTTCTCCATTGGAGAAGGCAATGCCTGGGAAGAGGAAGGAGAATGGCAACTTTAACTGCCAATCAACCCATCCCAAACCACAGCCACCACCTCTTCCTGATGGCCTGCTGGGAGGAGAGTTCAGTTTGGAAGCTCTTCCCATTCTTCCAGAAAATCCTTCCTGACCTTGGGACTAGGCCAGGCGCCTCCTTTGGGCTCTGCAGGACTCTGGATGTTTGTTACCTGATGACTGCGCCCCCATGTTCACCTGAAAAGACCTGGTCACTTTAGGCTATCAGAAAGGCAGGGTGAAGACCTGTATTTGATGCCACTGAGACCTTGGTATTGTTAGTGGACCAGCTGCTGATTGTTTATTGATTACCGAGTACACAACTAAGAGAGATAAGCAAGAAAAATAAATACTAGACACCAGGAAATCACCCCAGAGCAAACCTGATCTCTGAGCTTTTGCACAACCCTCCATAGTCAGTTCCGTACCCTTGCTTTTTTAGTTTTGGTCCTGAGGTTGATTGAACCAAGGTCCACACAGACATCAGGCAAGTTCTCTCTCACTGAGCCAATTCTCAAACACCCCTTTTACTTTAGCTCTTGATGGTGTCTCCCTATGTAGCCCTGGTTGGCCTGGAACTCATCATGTAGACCAGGCTGGACTTGAACTTTTGAAGATTCCTGTGCTTCTGCCCACCAACTGCTGGGATTACGTTTGCTACCATGCCTGGCCTTCTTTACCTTTACTATTATTATTTAGTACATGTATTTATTGTGTGTATGTGTGGGTTTGTTTGTATGAGTGTGGGTATATATGTGCCATGAAGGCCAAGAGAATAACTTGCAGGAATCAGTTTTCTCTTTCTACCACGTGGATTCCAGGGATTGAACTCAATCAGTCAGGCTTGGCAGCAAGCACCCTTACCTCTTGAGCCATCTCATTGGCCCTATGTTGTTGTTATTATTATTAGTAGTAATCATCTGTCTTCCCCAATCACCCTCCCGTCTGTTTATTGAGGCAGTGCCTCTCATTTGAGTCCAGAGTCTGCTAACCCAGCTACTCTAGCTATCCAGCTCTGGCCCCTTATCTCTGCCTCCCATGCACTGGGATTATAGACAGCAGCCATGTCCACTTGGCATTTATGTGAGTGCTGGGGATCCGAACTCCCAACCTCAAGCTTCTGCAGTAAGCGCTTTATCCCCACAGTCATCTCCCCAGCCCTAGAACACTTTCACCCCCTCTTGACCTGACTTCCTCATTTTAAGAACCAGTTAGGAGCGCCTCTCCGGCAGGAATCCCTCCCTGGCTGGGTCGGGCACTTCCTTTGGGTTTCTGCAGCCCCACCCCCCCAGTTCTAACCAAGCTGGAATGTCACAGTCTCATGATGGCCGGTGTTTCTCATTGAACTAGGAATCACGGGATAAAGTCTTGGATTTCTTTTGACATAGTGAAGAATTAGCCATTGAGGGAAAGAGAAGATGAAGGAGGAGGAGGACCAGGGTAAGGAGATGGCTTCGTGGTTAAGCCTGCCACACAAGCATGGGGACCTGAGTTCTAGCCCTTGCACCCACGTTTGCTGGGTGTGACCATGACAGTATTCCCAGTATCGGGGCATGGGGATAGGTGGAGACAGACCCTGTCTCAAACAACATGCAAATAAACACCCTTCTCCTCCAAATGAGATGGGCTTTGACATGGGGGCATGGAGGTAAGTAAGCCTGATAGAGACTGGGGTCGGGTTGAGGTCCACAGGTGTGGACAGAGCTCAATACTTGGCTACTTGACTGAGTGGAAGTTTGAAGATGCAGCTGAGATAGAGTAAGGACTGGGGTGAACATGAGGTTGGACCCAGCCGACGTGGAGGTTGGTAGGGCTGCTCTGTTGGAGGTGGGAACGTGAGTGGGGGCAGGGTAGATCCCTCTCCCTCCCCAGCACTGCTTGTCGGCCTCCTGGAGGAGGCCATTCGTGAGACCCGCTTCTCTGAATGCCACGGAGATGACATTCTCTCATTCCTGCTTCCTTCCTCCGCCTGCAAAAAACTAGAGGATGGAGGGGATGGGGGCGGACCTACCATTGCCCTTGGTGAAGTTGAAAAAGACAGGGTATGAGCCACGGCCGCTGAACTCCTCCCCTTTGTCCACAAGAGCCTCCTTCACAGCTTGGTATCCGCTGAGGACCACCACTCGCCTGGGCCCGAGGTACACCGTGTACACAGACCCATACTTCTTACTTAGCTGGAAGCAGAAGCAAGAGTTTGCTGGGGGTTTGGTGCTCATGGGGCCCCTTTCCCTCCCCATCGCCTTTTACCAAAGGCGAGGCCCCCCCCCCTTGCACCTTGGTGAGTGAGGTCAGCAAGTCTTGGGAGCGAAGCTGCAGCAGGTTTCCTAGGATGGGGAGAGGCTTGGGTCCTGGAGGCAGCTGGCTCTTGCCCCAAGAGTTGAAGGTCAGGGCTAGAGAGATGACAGCCAGGAGGAGAAACAAGATGGCTGTACTCACACCATCCATACTGAAGGTAGCCGCAGTGCCTGGAAGGGCCAGGAGGGAGAGGGAGAGAGTGCAATCCCTTTACTTAGATTTTTCTGGAATTTTTCCCCAGGGTCCAGGCAATGAGGGTATAGGAGAGAAGGAGGCACAGAGTGAGGTCAGAAGGCTAAGAGGGAGAGGAGGAGGAGGGAAAAGGAGAAGGCTGTTTGAGGATGCAGGCAGATTGTCAAAGTGTGAACATGAGAAAGGAATGTGGAGGCAGGTGGAGATAGACAGCTAGCAAAGAAACGGAGCCAGAGGAACGCGCAGATAAGGAAATGGGAAACAGTGAAATCCATATCGTATCTGTTCATGTAGCTGTATTATCTATCTATCTATCTATCTATCTATCTATCTATCTATCTATCTATCTATCATCTAGCTATCTATTTCTATTATCTATCAATGATCTATCATCTATTTAAGCCATCTATCAAAGCACTGGCTCTCACAAAGAGAAATAACAAAAGATAGACACACAGACAGGTACAGGTAAATGAAGACCTAGAGATAAAGTCACAGGAGAAAGACTGACAGATAAGAGAGAGAGAGAGAGAGAGGCAGAGGCAGAGACAGACAGAGAAGAGAGATGGAGTTGAAGAGACAGATACACACACTCTTTTTGCTGGTTTATTAAGACAGGGTCTCACTCTGTAGCCCATCCTGGCTTTAGATTCATGCTAATCCTCCAGCCCCAGCTTCTTGAGTGTTGGGATTGCAGGCATGCAGAGATGCAAACCAAAAATCAGAGACAGGCCAAACATAGAGCTGCATGCCTGCAATCCAGCATTGGGGAGGCAGAAGAGGGGCGATCCCTAAAGGCTCGAGGCTACCCTAACCTAATATAGCGGGTTTCCAGCCAGTCAAGAGCTATGCATCAAAACAAAACAAAACAACCCCTTCGAATAAAAACCACAACAACCCCCCCAAACAAACTCAAACAAACTAGCTCAAATCAAACCAGACAATAACAAAAAACCCAAAAAACCTGAAACCACCCAGAGACACGTACTGCAAAATAAAGGTTCCTAAAAGACATATTAAAACCACACACGTGATGTTGCTGTTTGTCGAGTTAAAAAGAAGAAAAAATAGGCGATAAAATGGAGGGAGGGATGGGGGAATGACCGAATGAGAGCCCCGCTCCTTCCTAACAGGACCTGGAGGAGGACAGACGGCAAGGTCAACACAAGTTGAGACAGACCAGAAGTCCCAGAAGAGGTCCTCAAGGACAGAGCCGGTGACCTCTCTTGGAAGCTACCCCTCACCTGTGTCCCAGTATTCTACACGATTGTTCTGGAGCTCTTGTGTGTGCTGGGGAGAATGGGGGGGTTCCTGCTCTTAAGTCGTCCTTTTCCACGCCCCTCCTCTGTCCTGCCCACTTACTTATTCTTCCAGTGAGCTTAATCCCCTCCTATCATCCCATCCTACCTTTCCTGTAGACCCTGGGCTCTCAGCCAGCTGGCACGGTAGGTGAGTGAGAGCCACACCTCTAGAGACCTCTGTCACTCAGGGCCCCAAAATTGACCTTAAATGCTCTCCCTGTGACCAGTGCTTGCTATTTGCCTAGGAAAGAGGCAAAGGCTTCTCAACTCGGGGCCTGGTCCTCCAGGAGGAGGTTATGGGGTGTTGGCCAATAAAATAATGGGCCAGGGAGGGAGGGCATGGATCCAGTCCTGGACTGAGGCCTGTTTTGGGCTCTTCTGGTCTATGTTTCTAGGTTCAAGTCCAGTTTTCCACCCCAGCCAAGAGGCATTGCGTAAGGTCTATTCCCTCCCCATAGAGTCCTCATTTCACCGGACTCTTCTTGTGGCCCTCCATGTCTTGTGGTTTGTCTCTGAAATTCTCTATGAATTTTATCCTTTCTCTCTCACCGTCACAATAAAAGATCTTAAAAGATGTGTATTAAAATCTCTCTCTCTCTCTCTCTCTCACACACACACACACACAATTACTGTTTGTTAAGTTAAAAAAAAAAAAAAAAAAAAAAAGAAGAAGAAATAGAGAATAAAAGGGAAGGCCAAGGATCTGGGAGGCCGTTGGAAGTGTGTCCGACTTTGCTGTCTTTCTGGGAGGGTGGGAAAGGAAGCTCTTGGAGGCCTCCTTCTCTTTAAGATTTGTTTTAAACTTTTGGTGATGTATAGTATGGATGTCGCATGTGCATGTGAGTGTAGTTGTCCGCAGAAATCAGAAGTGGACGTCGGATCCCCTGGAGCTGGAATTACGGGCAGTTGTGAGCCGCCAGTGTTGGAACCAAACTGGACCCTCTGTGAGAGTGGACCAGGCTCTTAACCACCACACGCACCGTCTCTCTAGCCTGTGCCTTTTCTTGAGACAGGGTCTCATGTAGCCCAGACTGTCTTAGAACTTGCGATGTAGCCAAGGGTGACCTTGAACTCCGAGTCTTTCATCATCTCCCACCTCTGGATGGATGGTAGATACTAAGGCATGCACATTCACTATACACACACACACACACACACACACACACACACACACACACACACACACACGTCAGACACTCCACCAACATAGCCAGGTCCCCAGACATGCCTTTCTTTCTCTCCGTTTCTCCCATCCTTATCCCCCAGTGAGTTCTTCTAGGCTGCTGCCTCTTCTCGTCTCTCTTCATCTCTGTGGCTCATGTCTCTGTGATGGTGAATACAGTTGGCTGAGGATGAAGGACAATTAGGAAGAAATGCAGGGCCACAGTGAAAGGACTCAACTTGTGCTCACCCCTCCCCATCTTATATAAGGCCCGTAGGGCCCTCCTTTAGCTCTTCCGAGCCCCCCCCCCCTCCACTACCCACCTCTGTTCTTGGCTCTCATTTTGGACACTGGCCTAAGTTTCTCAACTTGTGTCTGGGTCAGAAGGAGTGTCAAAGCTAAAGCCAGGACAGAGTGAGGGAGAGGTACCATGGGGCCAAGGGTCTGGGAAGTGCACCCATCTTTGCTGTCCTTGTGGGAGATGGGGGAGGAAGCAAGTCAATACCTCAGGTCTTAGGCACGTGTTGAATGGAGGTAGGGCGGGTGGTATTGTTACAGCTCTGGAAAGGCTGGTTAGGGCAGGTCCTGGGAGAGGGGTGAAAACTTCCTTGTGGGATTACAGGCCTCCTGTTTCCCATGGCATCAGCCTCTACTTCTGGGGTGGGGGTGGGGTACAGTGCTGAATCCACTCCAGTCCCTTGACTCTGAAACTGGTTTGGGAGGCATCTCGGGCAGGCGCTGGCCTCACAGGGATGGGGGTGGAGTGGGGGGTAGGGGGAGGGGGGCATTGTAAACCCAGGATTTATGAAGGGCTGTTTTCAGGGATTTTGTGTTCTGACTTGCCAGCCTGTTCCAAATGGAACTCAGCCTCAGGGAGGGATATACTGTAGTCTCTGAACTTGGCATCGATGATGTTTTGGGGCTACTAATTCACGTGGAAGGCTGTGCCATGTGTGGTGAGATTCTAGGTTTTTGGATGCCAAATCCATTTCTCCATCCACCCAGTCATGATAACACCAAGTGGCCCTGGAGGGTTTTTGTTCTAAACATTCCTTTTAGATTTATTCTATTTTATATGCTTCTCCCATTTGTACATCTGTGTAGCGTAGCCCATGCATGCCTGGTGCCTGGGGAGGTTAGAAGAGGGTGGTGGATCCCCTGAAACTAGAGTTATGGATTCTTGTCAGCCACCATGTGGGTGCTGGAAACTAAACCACATCTACAAAAGCATCACTACAGCCCTAGGTATATTCTTTTTCTTTTTAAATATTTATTTAATGTATATGAGTGCTGTATCTTCACATACACCTTTAAGGCAGAAGAGGGCATCAGATGCCACTAGAGATGGTTGTGAGCCACCATGTGGTTGCTGGGAATTGAACTCAGGACCTCTGGAAGAGTAGTCAGTGATCTTAATCACTGAGCCATCTCCCCAGCCCCTCTTTTTTCTATCTTGATGCTGGAGTTCAAACCCAAGGTCTTGTGTGCTAGGCAAGAACTCTACTGAAAAGAGCTCTACACTGAGCCACTCCCCCAGCCCCTCACTGGGGGATTCTAGGAAAATACCCTATCAATGAGCTATGCACTCAGCCCATCACTGGTGAACTGACTTATTTTTGTTTTTCTAAGAGGTTGAAGTGCATCATTAGGTTATTTAAGACCTCATGATCATTTATTTGTTTGAAACAGGGTCTCAAAAGGTAGCCCTGGCTAGCTTTGAACTCACAGAGATCTGTTTCTCTCTGCCTCCCATGTGCTGTGATTGAAGGTACGCACCACTTTGCCTGGCAATTTGGCCTTAACAATATTTATTTTATTATTTTTAATTTTGAGTGTGTGTGTGTGTGTGTGTGTGTGTGTGTGTGTTTGTACATGAATTCAAGTGTCTGCAGAGGCCAGAGGCATCAGATTTCCTGGAGCTGAGTTACAGGAACTTCTTGATGTGGGTGCTAGTCCTCTGCAACAGAAGGGTTTTTCCTAATTAATTTTTTTTCATGCACCATATTTTGATCATGTTTGTTCCCCTCCCCAAATTCTTCCCTGATTCTCCCCACCTCTCTGTACATCCAACTTTACATTCTTTCTTCAAAAACAAAAACGAGAAAAAAGAAGTAAGAAACAACCCCACCTTTTGACAAAACCCATAAAACCAGAAATCAAAACAAACCGGCAAAAAAGATCAATGAGACAAAACCAAAACAAACCAAAACCCCCAAAACCCAAAACACCCACCTCCACCAAAGAACCCCAAAAGCAAAATGAAACAAAAAGACTACAAAAGTAGTTGAGTTTCTTTCGAGTTGGACAACTATGAATTCCTTTGACCTGGTTTCCTTTCTTCATCAGTTGTGACAGAGAGCGTTGCTGAGTACAGCAGTCTGGATTGGTAGTTGTCTTTCAAAACTCGAAATGCACCCTTCGTAAGCCCTTGCTAGAGTTTGAAGTTAGAGCTGAATCATCTGATGGGACTTCTCTACACTTGGCTGTGTGCTTCTCTGTTTTCTTTTCTCCTTTTTTTTTTTTCTTTTTCTTCTTTTGAGACAGGGTTTTTCTGTTTGGCCCTGGCTGTCCTGGGTTTCACACTGGAGGCCGTACTGGCCTCGAACTCACAGAGATCTGCCTGTGCCTGCTTCTGCTGGGACTAAAGGCGTGCACCACGCCGCCACGCCAGTCCTCTTCCTGCTGTTTAGTGTACATGTTCACTGTTCTGTACTTAATGGTTTAGTTGTAACGTGACGAGGGGCGATTCTCTCTTCCATGTCTGGCTTGGCATCTTGTTCCTTAATGTTCGGGAATTTTCTGCCATGATTTTGTTTCAAATGCTTTTCTGTGAGTTTAGAATGAGGTCCTTCTGTGTCTTATACCCATGCTTCTTGGATTTGCTCTTTCCATAAGGACTCAAAGCCCCTGCAGCTCCTTATCATTCTGTCTGTTCTTGGTGGAACATTCTAACCCCTCTCTTGTCCTCAGTTTCAGACCTTCTCTCTTCTCTTGGATCCATTCTGTTGGTGATGCTTCCCATGGAGCTTTTGCTCAACTTACTGTGTCTTTCATTTCCAATATTTCAGTTTGCATTTCATCAAGATTTTGAGCTCTTTGTTGAATTCCTCTCTTATATCTTGCATTGACTTGTTATTTCATCCAGCTGCTTGTGTCCTTTTGGAATTCATTCTAAAGTTAATTTTCTTTCTTTGAGCATGTTTATAATAATTATTTTTGAATTCTTTGTCTGAGATTCCATCATTCTCACCGGAGGCCATTACTGTGGTATTGACAATTTTTGAAGGATTTAGATTGCCTTTTTTTTTTTTTTTTCATGTTACTTATGTTTTGTGTTGGGACATGGCTATCTGGAGTTTGGTCATTGGTTGAATTTATTAAGTTTTAAATATTTATTTGTTAAAAATCACCACTATTATTTCACAAGCAGTATTTGCACTTATTCAAGAAGGACTCTGGAAGTGGCTTGAGTGGCTCAGTGGTTTAGAATGCGAACTGCCCTTGTAGAGGAGTTTGGTACCCAGTCCTCATGTTAGCTGGATCACAACTGCTCACAACTGCCCATAACCCCAGCTTCAGGAGATTCAGCCATCACTTCTGAACTCTGAGGGCACCTGCACTCGTGATTACCAAAGGCCAAGAACATAGTGACAGGCCAGAGACAAACAATAAAATTGAATCATTTATTTTGTGTGTGTGTGCCAAGCATTTTATGTGCTTATTGTGGTTTAATAAGGGCCAGGATAAACAAATAGGCTGAACACATGTTTATTCAGGGAGAAATAACTTACAACCTAGACAGATGAACACCAGCAGGCTCCACCAGATGCTCTCCTCTCCATATC